GGGTTAGGACGAATTTGGGCTCGCTCTCTAACTGCCAGAGGAAGCCATCTGATAACACACGTGTTCTGAGACGAAGCTGTCTGTACTGGAGCAGGTGGCTGGCTACCAGACTCTGCTTCCATCATGCTTTTGGGTGATGGCTAGTGCCCAGTGTGAGTTGCAGGTGCTATGCTCTGCCTTTAAATTCTCTCAGCTGCTGACAGGATCTCTATATGTCTCACTCTCTCTCTCGTTCCCTCCCTCCCTGCTCCCTCCCAACCCACCTGTAACTCCGCCTTTCAGACGTAAGCGAATCTTGAAAAAAGACAACTTGTTCTCCTTCACAGGCATGTCCATTAGAAGAGCTACAGGAAGATGCTCAGCCCACACAGCTCTCCACGATGACGGTAGAGAGGGCCTGGTGGCGGCTAAGGCGTCACCACAGCTGCAGAGGTGTGTGGCAGTGTTAGAGTGAAGGCGGTGGTGACAGTGGCGCTTATAATGGTGAGGGTGATACCAGCGGTGACAGTGGGGGTGGTTGCCATGGAGACGGTGATTGGCAGTGGTGGTGTTCAGAGGGACGCTGGCCATGGTAGAGGGGCTGTTGTCAGGGCGCAGGAATGGTGGGGAGGGGTGGGGGTGGCGACCCGGGTGCTGCTGGTGACGGTGATGAAGGTGGTGGAAATGTAGGCGTTGTAGTTAGAACCTGTTCTCCACATCTCTGTGCCTCCCAGCCTTCAGTCCTTGCCCCCTCTACTCACCAGCACCCGAGAGTGAGCTGCTGGATCTCGCCTGCTCAGGTCTCCTCATTCTGGGTCCCAGGCTACAGGGGAAGCTCTGAGGCCCTAAGACGCCCATTCTCATGGCAGAGCAGCTGCAAGTGAGAGCTGCTGGGACTTTGGGATGCCTCCTACAGCCTCTGTCAAGGCCAGGGTTCTTGGGAGGGGGAAGGCAATCCTTCTGGAAAGTTCTGTGTGGTTTTCTTACCGCGTAGAAGGAGTTAGAGATTCTACAACACAGGGCAGGTGGTGCTGCTGGGGTGTCCAGGTGGGAGTAATGAGGGTCCTGGCAGAAGCAGATGGTGCCGACGGTGGTTGTGGTAGTGGTGGGGTGGGCAGCTGATCGTGTGGTGAATGGAGGAGGGTTGTGAGCATGACTGGGGGAGGATGCTGAGTGGCGTGGACAAGAACACGTGGCTGGAAGGAATGGAGGTGACGATGCGGACTTTCTGTTAGCTCTGCAGTCTCCTTGCTGCCTGGAGAACTCTGGAGGGTTTTCCGGAATCCATTTGCCTGGCTCCAGGTTAGGGCCTGCCAGTGTATGAGACTTGGAAAGTGAAGAGGGAGGCTTGCTTCAGCTGCAGACTGAGTCCTCAGGGGCAGCTCCCAGAATGCCATGGGGTTTCCGCCTCCGTCCCAGCAATCTCTGGGGAGCACTGGCTTTGGGGCTGCAGGCAGAGCCCGTCAACAGCTCCTTGCTTCCTGGCCTTTCATCTCCCACATCATCCAGTGGCCACGCAGGCTCGCGTTAAGCGTCCACCTGCGTGTGACCCAGGCAGCAAGCGTGCACGCACGGTGGCAACAGTGCTCAGATGCACGGGTGGTCTGAGGCAGGCATGGTAACAATGGCACTGGTTCTGGTGCCACGTGGCGTTGGATGTGTCGGGGCGGTGACGGCCG